ATTTATACATTATAATATATTTTAACAGATTGTTCTGAAATTAAAAATAGTAGCCATTCAACAAATAAACTTCATCAGACTAACAATTAAATACAGACTAAAAGATTAAATATAAGTTGATAAGTTCAATGGATTAAACTTAGCAGAAAATGAATTAATTAGAACAACAGTAACTGGAATTCCACTTATATGCTTCAGAGACTTTTAGAATAGGCATAGCTATAAACACTCTTCCGAACAAAACTGTTATGCAATAAAATATTTCACGAATATAACAGTTTTGAACAATAAAATCTAGAATTCATAACACTCAAAATATTTAGACATCATTATCAGACTAATACTACATGTTCTGTGATTATTAAATGTTTAAATAAATTCTGATAGTGATGAATCTTCAGAACAAATATTCTTTTTAGAATATAATTCTTTGGATGATCAAGAAGCTGAAATCACATAAAAAAAGTGATCTTTTTACTAACTTCATCCTTCCTGGAAATTGTAGCCGGAATGCCCATTAGTACTATTTGCTCTTACTAAATAAAAAATACATGAGAATGAACTTCATTCTGTCAAGAAATCTCAAAATGATTTGCTTCTCTACTTCTGCTTAAAGACTCAAATCAAGCCCTTCAACTCTGTTTATAGAAATCATTATAAGAGCATGTAGAAAAACCTTCAATTCTTAGGAATTTGCAAATGTAACTGAACAATTAAAATTGTTCAGTTACATTTAGCTCAGAAGGTAATTTGTTAACAACAATAAATAAAAATTGTGATTAGACAAGCAAAGAAATAAGTCTTTTTGGTCTGTAATTCTTTCACTGAAAATTAAAGCCTATGTACAGGACTTTTAATGGGTAAGAGTTTAAATTTAAAACCTTGCTCTTTTCCTATATTTTTCTCTTTACGTCTCCTTACCATAATTTATTGGTTTTTGATGAATTTTATGAGTAAAAAATTTTAAATTGGTGATTAAAACTTGTATGCACAGCCTTGTTATGGACTATAAAAGCTAGCATAATTATGATTTGAAAGAGTATTACAGTCTGTCTATGGAAAGAATCAACTTGGGTATTAACCAAAGAGCATTAGTCATTAATCGCTTAGTTGTGGCAAGTTACTTCAGGTTTCTTCCTCATTTGTTAGAACATGAACCAGAATGACTTTTCCATTAATTGTGTTATCTAGTAACAGAAAATAAAATATGTCAGGCAATGTGTGAACTTTAAGCGAAAAGTGTAGATATCATTACAAAAGTTTAGGAAATGTATTGATTGGTTTAATCAAAGCAACATAATGTGCGACATTGCTCTCAACTCAATTCTTTCCATAAACAGACTATAGTATTAGCTTTACCAAGGCTTTAGAATGCATTCTTGTAAGATTCTTATAGAAAGAAGAGATTAGTAAAAGGAACATTTACTTTTTTGATCTATATATTCAAAAGAAATTAGAAATATATAGAACAAAATTTTTTATTAAGCTATTCTATGAGATCTCATTGTCTTTAAAAGATCCACTGTGATTAGAGGATTTGATCCCGGGATCTCGAAAATCGGGATCCCGACCACTTTTCAGTCCCGAAATTTTCGGGATTAAGTTTTCCTAATCCCGAGATTTTCGGGATTGACATCATTTTAAAAAAGTTGCAAAATAGACTGCATGAAGCGAAACGTTCAGTGCCAGTGCTTTTAACAGAATTGCTTGCCTATCATTTTAATATAAAATATGAGAAATTTTATTCCAAGCAAGCAGCAGAAATTAACCTAGCGGGCTTGCGATGCTTGCTTGGAATAAAACTTCTTGTATTTTGAACTAAAATGATAGGCAAGCAGTTCTCACTGGGTTACTTGGTAATATACTTCATTTTTGTATTTTTGAATTTTCGCGGGCGCCAATCGATTTTCTGGCGCAGTCGAGAGCACTACTCAGTGCGTTTTACCTGTCAATGTGTCAGCCATCTTGTTTTGCCAGTGTGGTTAATATAGACCCGACGCCTCTCGCTTAGGGGGGTCGACCTTAGGTGAAAAGGTTACGACCCCCGCCTTGCCCGTGATCTGTCAGGATGATGCGAGAAAGTCTTTTTACGTTTGGGAGTAGTGGTTTGCTGGATGCTGAGAGACTCACACAGAGACCGAATTTACAAAATTAACGTGTTTATTTTTAGAAAGGCATGCTTACAATGATCGAAACAATCGGGATTGTAGCCTTTACTCCTACAATCCCGATCTGTGTCGACCGGACTGTTTTCTTCCAACCTCCCCGTGTCCTCGAAGCTATAACTAGAACGGGCTTATAAGTATTTACTAACGATTCCTCCAACTTCCATCAAACCTAAACGCGTTTTCTCAGCAGCTGCATATATGTGCAACAAATTGAGAAGCAGACTTGGTGATGAGACACAGGATGCGTTGTTATTTCTCAGATCATATTTTCGCAATTCAAATTAGAATGTTCCTATTAGATTAGTTTTCTTTATATTTAAGAAAAATGTGACTGATTAATATTATTTTTAAATACTTTTTGCTAAGAAACTTATCTTACTACCTACTTACTAGGTTGCTATATGAAAGTAGTCTATTTAGTCGATGTTAAGAGAGATTTTTGTTAATTTTCAACGTTTATTTGCATAGTTTGTTACATAAAGGTTTTTTCAATTTATGTGAGTTTAAAGAGATCTCAGTGATGCTTAAAAAAGAATAAATTTAACATGAAGACTGAGTGATTTTAAGTCTGGTTAGTCTGACTCTGAGTCTGATTAGTTAGAGTGATTAAATTAGCTAGGTGTATACTGTAAAATATGTTGATTTTTGTCTAAATTTTGATTTGATTTCTGTAAGATTTTCTTATTTTTTATTAACCCTCAATACTGAAATAATCCCGGGATCAAATTCCCTAACTGTGATATAAACTTCTGCTATTTGTTCTTTTGTAAGATTGTCCAAATTTTTTCAGGTTATTTCAATCAAGAGAAATGATTTAGCAGGGATTCAAAGGTTATGATTAGTTCATGGTCTTCAACTATCAGAGGATGAAACTTAAATGAAAAGGACATTTCTACAAAAAGAAGAAACAGATTTATGAAATCAAGATATTTAATGAAATATTAAGTTACATTAGTTCCATGATTATAAGTAGACATATCACAATCATAAAACAAAGATGATCTTTAAGAATCAGGATTATATTGACAGTTGAAAAAAGACATGGCAGTTTTTACAGTATGAGATTTAGCTTATTGAAAGAATTATGTAAAAAAAAAAATTAAGTTTTGGATCTTCATGCAGATTTAAAAAATGTAAACTCCCTTCCAAATGTTTGAGATCTTTTATCACTTGTCATTTCTAATGATCCTGTATGACAATGCTTACTTGTTCATCTGTTATGGAATTTAGGACAAAATATGCTGTTTGATTTTGAAAGATTATTATTGTGCTGCAATTTGAAAAAATCATAGATCTATAAATTCCCATTTTTGTCCATCTGCCTGTCTGTCCTTCCTTAATCTCAAGAATGGAGTTAGATAGATGAAAGTTGGGAACAAATATGAAAAGCTTAGGGCAGAAGCCCTGATTAACTATATATGAACTTCCAGTTTGGACCAGAAGTTGCATTATTTCAATTAAAAAATTTTTTCCCTGAAAGGAGTTAGATGGATGACTAGCACAACTCTATTGTAACAGGAAAAGTATGATGTACAGGGATGTTAGAAACAAGCAATTATTTATTGGGACATTGTCACAATAAATAATTGCTTGTTTCTAATTAGTTTTATTTTAAACTCAACAGAAATTCAAGCAATAACTTCAGGACTAATTAGATGACGTTTATAAGAAAATACTGAGGAAAAGATGAAACCAAATAATTTTCAAATTAATATATTTAAATTTTATGCTTGCAAAATAATTTAAAATTTTTATTAAACTAGAATTTAAAGTAATTTATTTTCATCCTGGATAAATTTAATGTATTTTAAAACTTCTAGTAAAAAAAAATATTATATACAGTAGATCCCCCTATAAGATGGTAGATACGTTCCGTTCTTTATGAATCAATTTTGTAGGAATCATAGTTTACGGACTACGGCTGTTTGAAAGGTTTTCTTTCATAAAATTAATCGATTCTAGACTAATTCGACTCAACATTTCCAAAATACGTATATTTTTTTGAAAATAATCCGTATAAACTACGTTATAAACAAAAAATTGTAGGATTGCTTACCGAGTGTGTACCGTTCGACTACGCCCGTTGCTAAAGCTTGGTTTCGTCGCGGAACAGCGCATCAAACCGCGGCCGCGATTTCTGATATTATTTTTCTGCGAAAACTTCGTTGACCTTTGGAGACATCCTTAATATAAATAATTTTTATGGCCGTTAAATAAGAAATGTTTCTTTCACAAGAAATGTATAAAATTACAGTACTGGACAGACGATAGGTCGCCTAACTCGCCGTAGCGTGACGCTAGACGGCGAAAAATATATATTTAATTATAATAAAGTTACAATAAATTAAGTTAATATATAATTATATATACAGTACCTAATTTATATATAATTAATATATAATTATATGTACAGTACCTAATTTATATATAATTATATGAACAGACGATACTAAACTCAATTTATCCGCCTAAACGTCCGTAGCGTGGCGCTACGGACGGCGGGAAAGTAGTTCGGCTGCCCGATGATGTTTTACGTATTATAGGAGTTATTTTTACCGTTGTTTACGGATACTGCCACAATTTTTATAGGAATCATAACTATAGGAAACGGTTTTATAGGGGGATCTACTGTAATAAAGAATAGCTTCTAAAATATTTTTAAAAATTTGATGGCATTGATTTTTATTTAAGACTTGATAAATCATACTCTCATATTGATGTGAGAAAGATGGGATTTGATTTAAAAATTGTCTGTCTTTACAAAAGTATTGTATAATTGAAAGTAAACAGAATAAGTTTTAAGATATTATATTACATAAATTTAATACTTACATGGATAGGCTGTTTGGCAAGTTTAATTACACGACTAATTACATAAGTCATCAGATATTTCTGATGAATTACTTCAGAAACAAGTCCGTGATGTTGTGCTTGATGAGCTGTGAATGGCTGCCCTCGAATTAACATATCTGCTGCCTGGAAAAATATTAAATTTAACAAAAAACTGCTAATCATAATTTTGTGTGACATTCTAGGTTGTTTAAAATTAAACATTTACTTTACAAACTTTTATGCTATAATTTCAATTTTTTAAAATAAATGTTGGTATTATTAATATGAAATTTTTAATATAATAATTTTCAATTAACTCATATTTAATCCTATTATGCTTCTTAATCTATTACAGTTATTAAAATTATCATGAGTTGATGGCCTAACGCCTACCTCTAGACAAATTACTTTGTATCTAATTATTAACTTAACCCTATTATAGCTTGATAATTCAGCAGATCGTCTAGTCTTAATCCTATTACTGTAGTTTTAAAATTAACCTCTTCCTCAATAAAACAGATATAACTACTACGTACAGTATATACTGTGAAAAATTTTAATTTTCATACTTTATATAAAATTATTACTAAATAATCTCTATTAATATTATTATGACTAGATTTTAACATAATATCCAGTTATTTAGTTAACTATTAAAGATAACATATCAGTAAGACTTAATAGCAAATATGATATCCTCCACTTATTGTGATAACTTTGGGATCTTATTATGATAACATTAAGCAGAGAATTTGATTTAAAAATTGTCTTTGAAGAGGAGGTAAGCAAGAGTGCAATCAGAGGAAACTAGTTTCTTTGACTCTAATATTAAAAGGATATGTTAAAACAATTAAAAAATTATATCTTGAAGATTTATTGACTATACTGATTTATTGTTATGTTGTTGGAATGTATCCTATCTGACTTATACCAATGCCTAGTGATATGCTGGATCAAATTTTTCCTGTAGCTTAGCTACAGGAAAAATTTTCTTCTCATGCTGTGTGTTTATACATCTGCAATTAAGAATTTTCTTACTATATAGCATGTGTTTAGTACAATGTATATATGTTATTATGAACTCTTAGTATTTCTAGACTCGTACGTAATGTCTATTGTATGATGCCTATGTAAGAAAACATTAGATAAAGTTCTAGATCAATGCCAGCATTCTTCACAGACAATTAATTTTAATGACAAGTTTTAAGTTTTTACGAATTTCTTCAATATATGTATTTTGTATATTTTGTGTGTATTTTTTTTTTGTTTTTTGACTGACTGAGGTATGTAATAGTTTGTATTTGTATACAAGCTTTTGATGACTAGATTTTAACATAATATCCAGTTATTTAGTTAACTATTAAAGATAACATATCAGTAAGACTTAATAGCAAATATGATATCCTCCACTTATTGTGATAACTTTGGGATCTTATTATGATAACATTAAGCAGAGAATTTGATTTAAAAATTGTCTTTGAAGAGGAGGTAAGCAAGAGTGCAATCAGAGGAAACTAGTTTCTTTGACTCTAATATTAAAAGGATATGTTAAAACAATTAAAAAATTATATCTTGAAGATTTATTGACTATACTGATTTATTGTTATGTTGTTGGAATGTATCCTATCTGACTTATACCAATGCCTAGTGATATGCTGGACCAAATTTTTCCTGTAGCTTAGCTACAGGAAAAATTTTCTTCTCATGCTGTGTGTTTATACATCTGCAATTAAGAATTTTCTTACTATATAGCATGTGTTTAGTACAATGTATATATGTTATTATGAACTCTTAGTATTTCTAGACTCGTACGTAATGTCTATTGTATGATGCCTATGTAAGAAAATATTAGATAAAGTTCTAGATCAATGCCAGCATTCTTCACAGACAATTAATTTTAATGACAAGTTTTAAGTTTTTACTAATTTCTTCAATATATGTATTTTGTATATTTTGTGTGTATTTTTTTTTTGTTTATTGACTGACTGAGGTATGTAATAGTTTGTATTTGTATACAAGCTTTTGAGGTATTATACTTACTGTTGGGCTAGTTCAATGTTAGTAGTTTGTTGTGTTAAAAACTTGCAAACTGATGTGATATTTTATACAGTTTTCTACAAGATATGACATTTCCTTGAGGCCCTGTCTGTAAGTATTGCATCTTTTAAAATTTACTGTACTTCCTATTTCTTGTATTTACGATCTGATCTTGTGTGGCAATAATGAATCCTTCTGTCTCTCCCAACAGGCCTCAATGATTCAGTCAGCAGAATTTGATACAGTTTTATCAATGTAATCGAAACCGAGACGGTTAGGATGACTATTGTGGAATTCCTCCTAAATATAGGACTGCTTCATGTCTCTTGTTTACCATGTTAGATGCAGGTCAGTGTTGTCTAGATTTAATTAATGGTGTACTGTTTTTGTTTGCAAGACTTACAACTTTGTGTAATTCTGATTCTTGTTTTTTTATAAACAAAACTCTCATGATGTTTGTATTTGTTTGTAGTGAAGATTTATTATATCTGTCAGGTCTTGCCAACTCTTCCTTGTAAAGAGGGAGAACCTTTCAACAGAAGGACTAGGGTCAGTATGTTGTGTTTTATCTTATAAAAATAAAACATTTAACCTGTCCTACATTGTTCCCGAAAATATTCATGTTGACCTCATTGACCTGCGTGGGTGATCCTGAATATTTTTGTGTTTACATTGGAACGTTTTTGATACTAGATGTCGCTGTGTGTCACAATTTTTATATTAAAACAAACTTTTAAAATATAACTTTTTTTTTCGTTTCTATATTACTCAATATATTTATTTTGTTTGTGCAACATAAAAAAATAATTTTTAACGATACAGTAAGCACGATTATTATTTAAATAAAAATAAATTTTTTTAGGCTTAACATTGACGAAAATTCAACATGGCATCACAGGCAACAAATAAAAATTTAAACATCGAATAGGTTAAAACTTGAGTTTTTTTTAAAAGCCAAATGACTTCTGATTACATCAGGCTATATTAATGCTACCATTAATAATTAGAACAAATTACTTAGCATTTACAGGTAGGCATTAGGAAGAGATGCACATTAAAAATTCCCAAGGTTCTCATCCAAATTTGTTCCCGAGTTCTCCAGAGCATACAGCATAGTATACGTAATAACTATAAATGTAGGATGCTGTCAATGCCTTCCTGTAATCTACATATGCTGTGTGTAAGTTTGTGTGTTTATCGAAAAAAGACTGAATGAGAAACTGTTCTTTTTATTTGATGCGATTTCTACAGCAACCTTTTTGTTGTTCTGTGAGAATGTTGTGTTGTTTTATGTGATGGTGTTTGTGATGCATGAAGTGAGTATCGTGTACAGTTTAAGAAGATGCATGATTGGTCTGTATTGGCATTGTCATTTTTGGGTTTCAAGTATGTAATGCCCTGTGTAAGAAATTTTGTCTTGTGGATTGTGTATGCAAAATGTTTGGCTAATTCCTGGTGTAGAGATGTAAATTTTTGTACCAGAAGTTGTGAATGTTGTCTGCACAAAGTATCTTCAATGATATGTTCTCTGTATTACATGTTTTCTGTTGTGTGTACTTATTTTGACATAGGACATAATTGGTGTCTTATGCATGTTTTCTTCTTCTTTGGTCCAATCCAGTCACACAGAAAGATTAATATTTTAACTTAATCTTCTAATAAATAATATCTTACCATTTATGGTTTTTATTTTTGTAATATAATGCCAAACTCTAATAATGCAAATGAGGTAAAAAAAAAATATACAAGAACAATTTATTAACTAAATCCTGATGTTTAATACATCAGAATTTAGTTAATAAATTGTTCTTGTATACAACTCTAGATTTGAATTGATAGAGTTGTAAAAGTACAATTCTATCAATTCAAATCTATTATTTCAGTTTAAGAATGCCATTAAATGATTAAACTATGATACTGTATTACTATACTTTTATTTTCAAAAAGTCACTGTGGCTAGGCAGACCTTTTAAAAATAAGCTTGTTAAAATCATTATTACCGAATGATATCTCAATAAATAAAAATTGTGTCTAAGAAAACAAAAAAATTTTCTTTGCCATTATTGTTAAGACTAGGTAATCTTTATGAAAAATTGAAGATGAGTAAGTCCAAAATTTACAACTAATTATATTTGCCTTTAGTCACAAATTTAAAATTTGTATAATTCAGTTTATTTAGTTTGAACTATCTATGGTAGATTTTTTGTAATGTTATTCTGGAAAAAATATATCAATTTTGCTAAAGATAGAATAATCTGAAATAAAATTCATGGTTACATTTTTTATTATGAATTTCATTTCAGTTAAATGAAAATAGTAGAAGTTCTATTTAAAAATTATCATAGAAAAAAACAAATAAAATCCAAATAAATTCTGAAGATTATTTGCTGAAATCTTGGGACTAATTGTTCTCACAGCAATAAAATTGTAGTGAGAACAATTCTGTTAATTAAAAATATGGAGATTTTGAATGAAAATTTATTAAAAATGAATATACAAATGCATGTTTACAGATAACAAATTGTAAATGGATGTATTTGTAGATATAGACTAAAAATATGTTTGAATCTATATTTTCATAGATAGAATAAAAATGTAATAGACTAAAGATCACTATTTCATTCTCTCATCTACATATGCCACACTCATAGTTTCACATGTACAGGCAAGGACAAGAATACATTATTTATTTAAACTCATTAACAGATATTTTCCTAAAATAACAATATCATGTAAAGAAGATAATTTACCATTGTGACACCCATAACTTGTGGCAAAGTCAAAGTTCCTGCACCTTCTGGAGTATATCCTAACTGAGAATATGGCATAGAAAAAGTAGCACTCTCACTGGCCATTACAACATCACTATAGGTAAGAAGAGTTACAGCAAATCCCATTGCATTACCATTGACAGCTATCACCAGAGGTTTCGAAAATGAGGCAAGTGTTTCAATTAACTCTCTGGTAAAATAAAAAACACATTTATTAAATTATTCAATATATTTATCCAAAANCATCTTGAATTAGAAAAGTACCAAATGCTCACATTTATAACTTTTTACTTTTGTTTTTATAGATAACTAAACTAGTAGAAAATTATAGATCCCATTCTTGCATTATTTCGTTATCATCGCAAATTTTCTACGACTCCGAACTCGTCTGTTCTGCCCCCAAAAGTTTACGGGACACGTTTTGCAAGTGGGAAGGATTACCAAACAGGTCGTTTCCTATGATATTCTGCGGAGTCAGGGTAAGTCAAAGTTGTCATTAAAAATTATTTTATATTCTACATGTTTTCTTTTAACTACTGAAACACAAAAAGAATAGATGATGATAAACAATTTGTTGAGAAAGTATTAATTTACATAAATCTAATTACAGCAGCATTAAAAATTATTTTATATTTTACATGTTTTCTTTTAACTACTGAAACACAAAAAGAATAGATGATGATAAACAATTTGTTGAGAAAATATTAATCAATACAGTTTCTTTTCTTCACTTCAATTTTACCCTTAATGATGATTTATACCATGTCACTAATTACACACAAAAGTTCATGTTATTTTCAATATCCAATTTTTGATATTGAATATTTGGATATATTGAATAGATTCAATATCCAATAGATTCAATATAAGAATATTTTCAATATCCAAATACTGAATACAGAAATAGAATTTAACATCCAAATTAAACAGTATCTAAAAATATCAATTATTTTATTCAGAGCAACACCATTTTATTTGGAAAATGATTTTATTTTGTCTTTCAAAAACTTTTCTATTAAATTTCATATTAAAATTGTTATTTGAGATAAAAAGCAAATAAAACTAAACTAAACTACTTTATATGTGTGTGTGTGTGTGTGTGTGTGTGTGTGTGCGCGCGTGCGCATATACATTATACAGTAAAACCCATAAAAGATGTAATTGCATGAAACTCTAAATCTTTCAGCTTAGCAAGTTTTCTGCCTTAGGCAGGCTAGAAGGAGACACTAGTAACTGCTTCATAAAATGAATGTATTTTTTTATTTTTACTAAGTTTTAATCTTGACATAGCATTTATTACATTAAACTCAAAATAAAAGGAAAAAAGCACAAAAAATAAAATATTCATGCATTCATGTATATATTATAAACTGAAAAAGAAATTATATCAAGTATACATTCTAAGTGAAAGGTATTAGTGTTTTCTCATTTTAAACAGACTTTTAGAAGCAATCCATTTATTTGTTCAAATATAAGCAGCCTCTGCATTTGTCTTAGTCTTAATTAATGGTAAAATAGTCAACATTTTTCATGATATGTCATTTTTAAAACAGATCTGTTTATAGCTACAGTGGGTGATTGGTTAATGAACAGTTCAGACTACAAACAAATTGGTTAATAAACACGTTTGTGAAAGATTTTTATGTTTGAATAATGAACACCTCACAGAACAAACACAACAAGAAGCGACATAAAATAATGAATACTGATTGGTCTTCCCTTGTCTTCAGGCAACAATTCGAAACTTTTCGGAGTGCGGCAGATGTTGACATCGACGCTCAACCCGATATATACTGATCAGATAGTATTTCTCTGAACTTTGAAACTCTCCCTTATAATTCCAGCCTTTTATTTTTCTGACAGAAACAAATCTTTTATAGTATTCATGAGACTGTCGGACAGGAACTCGTTAAGTTTAGCGTCGGTTTTTATTTTTAAAAGGTGAGAGTGTAATAGCAAAGGTAGAGAGTGGATGTTGCTAGACAGTATGGCTTGAATAGGTCTATAGTAGGCTGCAGTTCAATCTTATTTAAGAAAGATACTGTATAATCAAGAAGACTCAAGCAGCTAAAGGAGTAACAAAATCACATCTGAGAAATAAAGAACATTGAAGAGATCATAATGGAACCTGAAACAGATCTGACGACAGAAGAATGCCAAGAACTCTTGAATGAAGAACACCAAGAAACTCACCGAGATGTGTTTTCTTCTGAAAAAGAGGATTAATGCCGATATCTGCTATTAAAGATCTTTTGAAGAAGTGGGAGGATGTCAGAACAACAGTCTTACAATGGAATCCAAACCAGGATTAAGGTTAATAGGCTTGGGGATCTCTACTATTACAATGCCATTAATTACTTGTGAAAAATCCTGGAGAAGAGAGAAAAGCAATCAACATTAGACAGATTCTTTAACCCTCACAAACGGAAAACACATGACTAATAAAAATGCAAGACTGTGTATATATGTATTATTATTATTATTATATACAGTGGTGCCTCATATAATGGACACTGCAAACAACGGACTTTCTGTTTGGACGTTACATGGCTTGAGCAACGGACTGGCTGCGAACAACAGACTTTCCGTTCAGCAGTTATGTGAGGTGAACAACAGTCTTTCTGCAAACAAGTGTGAATGATGTTTCCACTCTTTTGCCATTGTCAATGACAATCTGCTATTTTTTATAATACAGTAGAACCTCGATTATCCGGACATTAATTGGGGATGGAGGTAGTCCGGATAAGGAAAAATCCGAATAATCGAAACAAATACTTTAATTTGTCTTTTAATGATAATACAACACGTTTTCTTTTCGATTATGTATTGGTAATATTAAAAATAAATACTGTATTTAAATCGTGATCAAATTTTCAAGAAACAAACGTTCGTATTGAATTTGGACTACTACTGACCAGCGCTAACAGACTAGCTATTGTTTAAAAGGCCCTCTGGTGACTCAAGAAGACAGATTATAAAATAAAAAGCAGTTGAAACTGCATTTTTATGAATAAAAATTTGACAAATTATTTATCGTTTTATGACGACTAAAATTTTTTCTTTGTGTTCGCGGCTTTTAAGTAATGCATAAACCTTCGAAACGCGAAGCCCTTCGGATTGCGAGGCATAGGCGGTAGCCCACGTTGCCCATGCCTTACACCGCCCTTGGTCATAGAAATGATGTAATTTGAAAATAAAATTATTTATAAATACGTATGTCAAGTTATATTTTTATTACGACGCAAAATATATTTAAGAGTTTACGGCGACTGTGCTGGGAGAGACGTTGTTGAAACAAAAAGTTATGTATTCCATCATGTACAGTACATAAACAGTATCGTAATTCGCCAAGTGCAAATCAGCAAATCCGTAAAATTTTTGTTTATTTTGAACAATCCGAATAATCGAAAATCCGGATAATGGAGGTCCAGATAATCGAGGTTCTACTATATATTAGTATTATTAGAATATATTATTAGTATATTCTGAAGTACAGAGCTCCCATTGGGATTTGGCTTGCTCCCTTGTTTATTACGTATATCAGTGCAGGGTATTTACATTTATTCAAGTGTTGTGCAAATCATGGCTTCTAAAAAAACAGAAAGGTGATTTCAATTGAAACAAAGCAAGACATCATCAGAAGAAGTGAAAGTTGACAAAAACTTCCTTGTCAAATGGGGATAGGTTCAAGAGTTTACCAACACTCATTATCCAAACAGAGCTGAGGCCAACAGGATCAATTATTTCTACAACAATACCCTTGCCCATCATTTCCAACAGATGTTGAAGAAGAGAGAGAAACAGACCACCTTGAACATGATTTTCAAGAAGCAAGCTGCCAAAAAACAAAGGATGGGACAAGAGAAGTTTACCCTGCAAGCTCCGGTAGCCTTTCCTGTATCTGACTCCAATTAAAAAATGATAAAAAGAGACTTGCTGCAATGTGTAAAAAGTCTGTATCTGTATGAATGTGTAAAGAAAGTGTTCCTCCACCTCCTCTTCACAGCATCTAACTACCTGGCATAATTGGTGACTGCTCCATTTTCATTTTTTTTATGGTACGGTACGGTTATTTTATGCTGCAGAACAAATTATATGTTTTAACATGTGTTTCTATGGGAAAATGCGTTTCGTATAACAGACTTTTCACTTAACGGACGTGCACCTGGAACAGATAAAGTATGCTATATGAGGCACCACTGTATAAATAAATGTAGTAAGAAAGTATATATTTTTTAGTTTTCAGAACGAATTAATCAAATTCTCATAAAAATCTATGGTAAATCGATAATCAGTTAAGAAACAAAGTCTTGCAACAGATTATGCTCATTAACCGATCACCCACCATACCTCATATATTAATTATTACAGAGGAGGCCCTACAAAAAGGTGAAAAACAACATTAGTGCCTTGCAAATTTGATTGTTGATTTTATGATTTAATTACTAAAATATATCACTATTGAAAATATAATATAATATATCAGTATCTGTTGCATCTGCAAAATGATTATTCTCACCTCCAATCAACAGTCAGGTAAGACTTTCTTCACTTTTGATCTTTTTTACTGAGAGATATTGGACCATTCCTCTGTAATTGATGAATTTAGCACCACTAAATGAAGACGAGCAGTTTTGTAGGTGAATTTCTGTATACCTCTTGAATTTTTCAATCTATTATAAAACTACTGTACAGCTTTTTATTTTACTGTGTTCCATTGTCTATTTCTATATTAAAAATGCTCATATTATTACAGATGTAAATAAATCTACCCTCTACTTCCATTCCTCTTTAATAAGCCTCAAAAATAAATTTTGCCTAGGACCTCACAAATCTTAGGGCTTCTTCTGCATTTATTGCACATTAGTTCATAAAAGGAAATTACTTTTAAGAATTAAAAAATAAAAATTGTGTAAAGTGAAACCATCTGAAAAATTTAACAATGAGTTTTTAAATATTTATAAAATGAAATTCATCAAAACTGAATAGAAAAATCTATTACAATCTAATTGTTTATTACATGACATACTAAAAATGTCACTAGGATATTGGGTTAGAAAGTCTGATACACTCAGTTACCTATTTAAGAGATTCATTTTTTTTTCTTTCTGTTTTATTCTCTGACCTGCAAGTATTAAGAGAACTATTTTCTCCAATCTCCAAGCTCATCAGGGGTATGGTCAAGTCCACAATAGACAGGGGCCTGACATATCCAGAACATAACACCCCCAAAATGTGCAGCACTTTGTAAATCATTTGTGTCAATGTTATTTATATTTATGTACTCTTATGTAATAATTTGTCATATGGTCTCCTATTTATTAATTTCCTGTTAATGCATCTGTTACCTGTGAAAAGAACATTTCTTTAAGTTTTAAAAAGTTTTGTTCCATTCTCAGTGTTCCTGAAGAAGTTTACAATGTTGCAAGCAAAAATACTTAGGAATAGTTAAATTTGTTTTTTCATATGTTTCTCTGACTTTTAACACCCAATTCAAATTTTTGCATTCCATACTTAATGTCTGTAGTTCCACTAATTTTCAAAAAATATAGCAAAAACTGTTAAATACTTTATTGCAGACTATTAAAAAATTCAGACCATTATACTCACTGTAATACCTAGTTTCAGTTCAAACCAGCTTCATAAAATGTTAAATACTGTAAAAACATCAAGCTTCTTTTGCATTACTTTAGGACTATTTTAAATTTTAAAATTTTTTAAGATTTTAAAGGACACTTTATTTTATACATTTTTTAAAATATGGACTACAGAAAACTATCTTTGTTCATTTAATCTAAATGAATGATGCATATTCAAATCAAAAAACCAAACTGTATTAAGAAATTTCTGTTTTGGTACAATAAAAAAAAAAAAAAAAAATGAAACTTACTTAACACTTTTAGCCATTTCATCTGCTACTGTTTCTTTCCTCTGATAAATTAATGGTTGAAGATCAAGTCCAGAACAAAACTGATTACCTGTTCCTGTGAGCAATAATACTTTACAAGTTGGATCTCGCATAGTTGCCTCTAATGTTTCTTTAAGTTCTACAATATCCTGTACATAAAATATAAATTTTATTGTTATTAATTTTTGAAAAGTAACAAACAAAACAAAAATTACAAATTATTCAATTCAAAGTTTAAAATTAATTTAAATTTTATATAAATTTAAACTTCAAAACAAACCTCGACAGATAAAAAATTATGTTTGCGGCCATTAAATTTAAACATGACTTGAGTATAATTTGCATTCCTTTTGACTGTAATGCCTTTATAATGTAAAGTAAACTCATGATGTGAAAGTTTAAACTGACTGCTTTCTTCACCTAATTTTCTTTTTAGAATTCTCTGGTTATTCTCAGTTGATTTTTGAGATCCTTGAATCCTCATAGTTCCAAATGCTAATTTTTCATCTTTTCCTATTAAGTTATGATTAAATAATTATTCAGTTTAAGTCTTTATATATATAAAACAAAAATAAGATATACACTCTACCTGAAAATATTTAGAAATAAACATAAATTAAATGTATTATTAAATATCTATGTTTAATCTAAATCATGGATGGCCAACCCGCAGCACACATGCTACAGTGTTGGAAGGTGGAGTTGAAACAGTGGCACGCGAAGACTTTTGAAAAATTAAAAAATTTGAAAAAATAATAATGTCGTCTTCAGGAACTTTGTCAAAATCTATAAAACCCTACTCATACGCTACTGAATACAACAGCGCCAGAAAGTGGCACTGCTTGACAACAGTACAACGATGCAGTAAGACAGCATGGTCATGAGACAAGTCCAATGGTTTGAGTTGCATTGCTTTGGTGCCTATGGAAACTATGGTGAAGGCTTCTTATGAACTTTCTCTGTTGTTAGCCCACAAGGAGAAACCCTATTCTGATGAGAGGAGATAATAAAAAATAGCTTTTTAATATTTGCCTAAAATGTCAGTGATATAAACATTAAAAACATGGTTGATAAAATAGCTTTGTTTAGAAATACCATCATGCATCGTATAGATGACCAGGATGTTGGCATACAGATTGTCTCTGGACTACAATATTCAAATACTTTTCATTAACTTTGAAGCTGTGACATCAGACAATGCGCAGTTAAGCATATTTATGAGTTACACAAACAATAATTTTGATATTGTGGAAGAACTTCTTCATTTGCACCAACTAGTTTTCACTACAGGTTAGGACATTTTTAAAGAACTTAAAAATGTAACTGAAGTTAACAAAATACAGTGGACAAAATTAGACAGTGATTGCACAGATGGAGTGCCTTGCATGGTTGGCAGGGATAAAAAGTTGTTACATTGCTTGAAAATAATTTGGGAAGAAAAGTTTTTAAGTATTATTGTATTATCCATCAAGAAGCTCTTTGTTCCAAGGACTTAAACCTGTCTTCTGTTGTTGACCCTGTAGCACGCTGTATCAACAAAATATAAACTCGAGCTCTGAATTGACGACGATTTTGTGAACTTTTCCCAGAAGAAATAGAAGAGGATGGTGAGTTACTCCCTCATTGTAGTGTGCATTGGCTTTCCAAGGAATTTCCAAGGATGCACTCGTGAGATTTTGGAATTTGAGGGAGTGTGTTTTAAAATATCTGGAAGAAAACAATGAACTGCCCAGTGAGTGCTTGCTACTCAAGAATGAAGATTGGCTATGGGATTTAGCATTTCTCACCGATATTATGGGACATTTAAATAATTTAAATTTAAGATTACAGGGAAAAGATTGTATTTTTCCTACCCTAGTTGGTCATATAACTTCTTTCGTGAACAAACTTTTCCTTTTTTGTTTTGAATTTGGAGAAAAAAGATCAACACATTCACATTAATGCAGGAACTAGCTACCAAAGTCAATAATGCTCTGAAATATTAAAAATTTAATATCCATTTTGCAGGATTCATTCAGTGCTAGGATTGATGATTTTCAAGATTATAAAAAAAATGCTGATCTTTTCACAAATCCTTTTTCAATTTCTCTGCAAGATGTTGTTACCCACCTGAAATCCAAATTGAAATTATTGATCTACAGTACCATACTACACTGAAAAGGAAGTTATTTCAACTGCAAGTGATCCAAATTATATTGAATTTTTGAAATTTGTACCAACATGCAATTTTCCAAATTTACACAATTTGGATGTCAGATATTGTTGTAGGTTTGAATCAACATATGTTTTCGATTATGAACATAATGAAATAAAATATTGTTCAAGATTAACTGATATGTACCTAAAACACCTAATTTTGTTAACATCTTCAAGAACTAATCTTAATGTATGACTTGGTAAAAAAAACTACAAATTCAAAAGCCACATTACTTAAGTTTAATAATTATTTAAAATTAAATGTTTCAAATTATTCATTTTTATTTTATACATAACCTAACTAACTGAACCTTTAAAAATGTTTATTAACAATAAAGCTTAAGTTTGTACTTTTGTTTTATTTATTATATTACTTTTTTAAATCTCCACTACTCAGACTTACATGAAAAAAAATATGCTATTTGCATAAAAATCCCATAATTAGCCTGTAAATAACATTTTTTCACTTTTTTCTAATTTTTAGTATATTGGAAAAGTTGGAAGTGGCATGCATAAGTTTTTTTTTTCAGATAGTGGCACTTTTCCCAAAAAGGTTGGCTACCCCTGATCTAAATTAATGCCATTATAAAATTATTGTTGTTATTAAAAACTTACCACTGATATCAGAGTTTTCAGAAATCATTGCATTCTTGTAATTCATTTGTGCTGTACAATTTTGTTTTGATATGCTGCATGTGTTATTTTCATTATTTCTTTTCTGAACGTGTTTCTTGTCTTGAGCTGAATTATCAGATTTATTTACACAATTTACAAAAGAACAACTGTTTTGTGCTGATTTTGAAACTTCTTCTTCACTACTATTAGTAACCAACTGTTTGACTTTCTCTTCCTCGTTCAGAGAGATTTCTGGAGAACTTGAAATGGAAGAACTATCAAAAATACTGGAAGAATCTGAATTAATTTCAGATTGATTAATAAAGTCTTTTTGAAAATTATTAGATAATATATTAAATTTATTAATTAATAGAGGTTTATGAAGCTTCTTTCTTCTATTATCATCTTCCTCAATAGAAATTTTTTTAGGAGAAACAGAATTACATAGTATTTTATTTTTGTTTATTTTATTTGCATTTTTTAAATGTTTTTCTCCAAATTTTTCTTGTGATGCCGATTTACATATTATTATTTTCTTTGTATTAATATTGCACAATTTTTCCTTTGGTTTAATTAACACAGATGATTTTATATCTTTCTTAGATTTGGTAATCTTTGAAGATAACAATTCTGACGAATTTAAACAATTTGCTAACTCTTTCCTTACCATAGCTCGTTTTTCACTTCCTTCTACTTTACGGATTCCTCTAATGGGCAAAATTCGCTTATATAATGTTGATGAGGTTGGATATTTCTTGCTATTGAGATCTTTAGATATTCTAACAGACTGTCTTCTCATCTTTGTTTCCATCATTAACGACTTTACTGTAATATTTTGAGCCCATCTAATTTCTCGTAAAGAATCATATAGTTTATCCAACTCATTTTTTTTCTTAATATCTGATTTTATTTGAATAGATTTATTTTCTTTCATCAAAACCTTTTCACAATTTGATAAATCATCATCGTTTTGGTCAACAGGTTCAGTCAGCTTATGATCATTGACATCTGCATTTAAATGATCACAAGGTGACTTACATTCATTATTAAACTCAACATCTAAAGCAGACCATTTACAATTTAAAGCATTATTTTCCTTTGCAAATTTTTGTACATTATTAATAACATCAGTAATAAATATTTCTCTGTCTGTCTCATAAAATATATGTTTTTGAGGCTCATATGTTGATTTCTCAATATTTAAACATGATTTAAAAGAATTTAAATTACTATTATTAGAACTATTGTCATTTATATCAAATACATCATTTGAATTACGATAAAAATTGTGTTTTAAATTATTTAAATGATATTCATGTTTTGAAAGAGAAGTTTCTAACTGCCTTTGATTTTCACATGTAACACTAAAAAAGGAACTGGGTTTTTCATCACAATATAAATGATTGTCAGTTAGACAAGATAATGATTTATGCTGGATATTTGCTTTTATTAACATGTTTCCATCAAACTTTTTTGTAATACTATCTTTTTGGTTATGTGTTTCACACGTCCAACTATGTCTTCGAGTCCTTTTTTTAGTACATAATTTCTTCTGTTCATTGATATTACACATATGATTATGAATAACGTTTTCTGATGTCATATATTTATTTAAAGAAACTTTTTCTTTAATTACTAGATCTTTGGCACAAGATGTGTTTTGTGAAAATTTATCAAAAGGCAAATATCCCTGAGAATGAGCATATTTTACACATTGTTCATAATTCCATTCAGTCCTTTCTGGAATTGCTGAAGAAATAAAATTAGACAAAACGGAAGAAGTAACTCTCTCTTTCCAATCTTGAGACATTGAGATCCTTTGTTCTTCAGATTTTTCAATTAGTTCATCCATTAAATTTTTAATCTCATTTTCATTAACATCGGTTATTAGTAATGGTGTGTTTTCTGTCATATCCATTGCTAATATTAATGTGATCCATTGTATAATATCCTTAAATATTTCATGATTTTTCTTATTTTCTTAGAATTTCTTTTATCTAGAAATAAAGAAGAAAATTAATTACAAGTGCTATAATTTACATTAATTTAAAAAATTTTTTACTTAATCTCTGTTTTTACTATTGATTTAATTACATCTTTTCATAATTATATTTAAAATAACTATAATACATAAAAATCAATAAACTTATTTTTATAATATTAATTATGATTTATATCAAATTTATATCATACATAGGCCTAGTAGCTAACATGGAAATACAGTGGAACCTTGTTAACTTGAATCACTCAGAGGAAAAAAATCAGTGACTCATAATATAACACCTCCATATGATATTTCTGTGGATCCTATTATATAGAATAGTCATGTCAATGTAAAACTCTTGTTATTGTCAAAAACTTGAAAATGCTGAACTGAATTGGTAAATAAGCTACTGAGAAATGCTTTCCCTATTGGTTGATCTGATTCACTCCTAAGTATTCAGTAAAGATTTTTTTAAATTGTGATATTTCATGCCTAAATTGGTCAGTTGTTTTAATCATAAAATAACCACTCTTTATAATTGTTATGTTTTTCAAATTTTGCCACAGAGCTTATGGAAGCCACCATCCCTTGCCACCACCTGAACAATTTTTCCTTAATGAAATATTCTATTTTTTCCAACTTAAACAGGTAATCCTTTTTCCATCTCGTATTAATAACTTTCTTGATCTTGCTTTTTACTTATAATTGTGTTGTATCTATCAGTTATGCTCAGGGGTTCAAATCTGACCATAATGCAATATGTTTAGATGTCTTATTAAATACCAATAAACAGCAATCTGCCAAATACATTAATATTCCAATTTGGGTCTCATTCAATGGAATGAAGGCCTCAAAAATCCTTTGCTCCATTGACTGGACCTTCCTCAACTCGCCTATTACTCCTCAGAAACTTACTGATAAAATTTACAACTTGTTTTCTGCCACTATTAAAAAATTATTACAATTCCGTAAAATAAACTCTTCCGCCAATAGATGGTTTCCTCTACACTTAAAGAAATTATCCAATATGGTCAGAAAACAATGGAGCAAATGGAAACGTTATGGTAACCCTCATGACTTATACTTACATAGAATATTGCAACAACGCTTTTACCAGGAAAATCGTACTGCTTTTCTAGAATATTTTAACAGAACTGTGTCTAACTTTGCTGCTGATCCTCGTACCTTCTGGCATTTCATTCCTAACTTTCCAAAAAAATATACCTCCTCACAAAAATCTGTTCCGGACGATAAAATATATGATATATTTAATAATATTAAATCTAGATATTTTCACATTTTACCTGAAGCTAAGTTTTATTCCCTATCCTTTCAACAATGTAAATATAAATTCTTTATTTCTTTTTCCGATGTTAAGTTTGCCATAGATAGCCTAAACAACTCGAATTATAGTCCAGACTCAATTCCAGCTCAATTCTTTAAAAAGTTAAAGGCAATATCCGCTGTTCTTCTCTCCAAACTCTTCACAAGTTTGTTAAACTCTAGTCACATTCCAAATCAATGGTTAATCTCTAATATAAAGGTTCTCCCCAAAAAAGATAATTCCTTTAGACCAATAACTATTCTATCAGCCATGTTAAAAATTTTTGAAATTTGCTTATATAACAAAATCTATACCCAAATTATCTCCAGATTCTCTCCTCATCAACACTGTGGCATCTGTAACCTTTCTACTACTACTAACCTTCTTGAAACAACTTATACTATTTTGCAAAATTTTGAGAACAAAAAATCCACCTACATAATTTATATTGACATTTCCCAAGCCTTTGACTCTATCATTCCTAAATTACTACTTCAGACTCTAATTGATTATTTTGATTTAGATCCTGCTCTTTACTGTTGGTTAAACAATTACTATTTATCCAGACTATGTAAGATTCACATTGGTGACTTTGATTTTTTTCCCTTTCCTTGAAGTATGCCACAGATAGGAGACTATCTGTGGCATACCTCAAGGATCTGTACTAAGCATGCTTTTTTTCTCAGCTTATATAGATAAATTACTAATCAACTCCCACTCTAAAGTAATTGCCTATGCCGATGACATCAAAATTTTATCCAATGATCCCTCCTCTCTTCAGATCACTGTCAATTCTTTATGTTCTAATCTTGCCAGTTATAATCTAAAAATCAACATCCATAAAACTGTCATTATGTGTTTTTCTCTACTTCACAATCCCTACCACCCTTCAATATTTATTGATTCCTCTAAAATAAACTATGTCTAGTCTCATTGTGACCTTGGTATCATATTTGATAAAAATTAATATTCCACGATCATATCTCTTACATTATTAAATCTCTTGCAATTAGATGTGGCTTTATCTGGTGTTTTTGCAAAAATATCTCTTCAAAAACCATACTCAGAACAATTTTCTTTACTAATTTTCAATCAATAGTTGATTATTGTTTACCAGTCTGGGCCATGGCAGCCCCTTATCTAATTCAAAAAATACAATCTGAATTAAATAAAGTTTATTTTCTGATACACAAATTCTACAATTTACCCTTTACTGACAACCATGATGTGGCAAGGGTTCACCTTGGTCTTCCAAATCTTTCTGATCGCTTAAAATATTTTGACTGCATTTTCTGCTTTAAATACTTCAATGGTGTAATTTTAAATTACTGGCTAGGTCTCCGCATCCCTACTGTAAGAACATGTAATAAATCATGCTTCTTCATCCCATTTTTTTGCCTTTCTCTTTCACAAAGATCCTTTTTTTACTGTATAGCATCTCACATACAGCTTGTTGAACCTTACCTATATCGTGATTTTAATTTTTTAAAAAATAAATGTAAATCTATTTTATATAATATATATATTATAT